CGCCCCTCTCTCTGACCATCTTATCACATGTAAACTGGATGGTCATTTAATTTCAAGATAAAAGTTAAGATAGGAAACTCCTATGGTCTGAGCCATATGCTTCCAGATGATTTAGTTGGACAAAATCACTCATTTAAATTGGGTGAAGAGGGAAGGAGGGGATATTTATAGAAGTGTAAAAATCCCAAACTAGCAAGGAAATGGGACTGATCTAATCATTATTGACCAGACTTCACCTGGAGTATTAGATTCCTTTTGGAAACCATCCTTTAAAGAGATATGATCAGACTGGTGTCCTTTCAGAAGAGGATTACCAGTGCAATGAAGGGACTCCAAGCCACAATGTAGAGGAACCCAGGATGTTTAATTAAGAGTGCAAAAATTGTTTAGGGACAGCTGCTTCATCTACAAGGGATTAAATTTGTTCTGTGTGGCTACTTATGACAAATCTAAGAGCAGATTTCAGTTCAGTATCAACTGGAGGCTGTCCTAACAAGAAAGGAAAGCCTTGATAGTGTTTCCTATTATTTCTGGTCTTCAGATACATAGATGGAGGGCAGGAAGATGTAGGGCAGGAAGAGAAGTGCATGAATGCTTGGATCAAGTGAATTGTTGGTAGAGTACTGGATCTGTATAACTAGTTAATAAAAATGAAAAAAAAATTTGAAGTACCAATATAGGTCTCCCACTTCTAATTTTTTAACGAAGTGAGGCCTGATAAGGTTTGGGGGATAACATACTTTGGTAATGGGTAACACTTTTATTCTCTTCTTGAGTGAAACACATTGGAAATTGGAGCCAGGCTGCCTGGGTCTGAATATAGACTGTGTCACTTATCAGCTGAATGACCTTAGGAAAATTCCTTTAATTTTTTGTGCCTCAGTTTCCTCATCTGTAAAATGTGATAATAATACCTACCTCAAGTGTAAAGCATATGAACAGTGCCTTGTTCACAGTAAGTATTCCATAAGTGTTATCTATTGGCTCCTAATTGAGATGTAGATATAGGAATTAGCTGGAAGCTAAACTATCAGTGCTAGCACTGATAAAGTAGAAATGGAGATTTTGGCTTAGATTGGCATCTAAGTAGGTATGCTAATACGTTACTCAACTTACCCACCTGGTCTTTGTCCCAGCTGAACAACTACAGATCTTCTCTGTAGGAGTTAGTCTCTTTCCTATTTGGCACAGAATGTGAACATCCATGAACAAGGTGGCTCCAGAAAGTGAGAAACTCAGAAGGGACCAAGTCGAAGATGCTCAGTTTCTTTTTTCAAACTTATTAAATCAAATAATTCACTTCTCCTCCCATGAAGAGGAATAAATGAGGAATAAAAGAGGAGTATTATTCTAGTGGAGCTCTCTCCCCATGGAGATCTAAGACAAGAAATGAAGTTTCACCCTCTAATGAGGACACAAAGAAAAAAAACAAACAAACTACCATTTCAAACACCATCATTTCATATTCCCCAAATAGAATAAAGCAAAGTTCTTTAATAAACTTAGCCTTCTACCACATTGCCCTTATTTTTCACAGACCTGCAAAATTTCATTAGGATTTGGCATCAGTCCCTGGACTAGCCTTTGGGAGCCACTAAACTAGATGACTTTTAAGATGCTTCTAACCATGAGATGTTATAATTCTATGATAGAATTTCATTTGTACCTGGTCCTCAGAAGATAACCGAGGGACTAAACCTGGGTCAAGGGACAGGCAGATCCTGAAAATGTATTTGTGAAAGGGTTGGCAGAGCAGGGTATTTTTTTCTCCTTGGAATCCTTAATCATATTTCTGTACTGTCAATATGAAGAAGAATTTATCTAAAAGGCCAGAGGCTTGTTGTGAGGAGAACTTGATGTTGAAACTCTGTGTCCAGTTTTGGGCTTTGGGATTTTCATTGCCAGCCTATGCACCATGATAGTTGGAAGAAAATACAGTTGTGTCAGTTTCAGCATCTCTCTCAGTAATAATATTTCAAATGTATTTATTTCTTTGTCTTAATATTTTATTACCAGCTTGTTGTTCTCCTTATACCACATGTAGTCCCACTCCCCCCTGCCTTGTGAATGGATGAAGCTACGTTGCAGCAAATTGAGATAGAAAACCACATATCCAGGGTGATTTATCATTAATGTGAAATTCTATCCTAACCTGAAAGTTGAGGAGCAAGAATCCCAAGCTATTTCAAAATTCATATTACAAGACAGACAATCAGATAGCCCCAAACCACAACATCTTGTACTCTATTAATTGTAGGCTGACAGAGCCCTTTGGTTGCATTTGTATTTCCAAGTAAATACAAACATATGTCACCATTTTTTATTGATTTTGGACTTTCCTAGGAAGGAAATGCTGTTAAATTATAATAAATGGTGTCAACTAAAACAAATAGCATAAAACCCATTAAGAAGGCATTTATTGTAGAACTTGGTTTGATTCGTTGGCGTCAGTTGAAATCATGTCAAAATAATGTCTTCGGAAACCAAATAAAAATTTGTTTGCAAATTTGTCTGCAGCAAGCATTTCTAGAGCATAAAAATCCTTAAGAATCAATATGGTTTTATTCAGTATGCAAATGTACTGAAAAGCATTAGAGCAAAAATTCCATTGCTGAATTATATGATAGTGTTAGGAATTAATAAATAATAATAGATGATAAATAATATAGTGGCTGAATGAGATAATACATTTATGAAGAAGTAGAGGGAGAAAAAGATTAAGGGGATAGTCTTGGGAGAAGATCAATTTTCAGATAAGCTAAACTAACATTTTATATTCAGAAAACTAATGGAGTTTAGTTCTGTAACTCATGAAGTCCAGTTAAACTAAATTTCACTGCAGCCTTTAAAAAGGGAAAGGAGATGAGATGCAAAATGCCTACTTCTGAAGTGATAACCATTTGCGTTCTAATATTAGTCAGCCTGCATCTATAATTTGCATAACTGTGTTTGCCTTCCAGGTAATTGGGAATTTAATTGCTATCAGAATAAAATTTGAGTTTTAATTCCAAATGATGTCAGTGCAATGTATCCCAATGTGCAGTTTTGAGAGTCACTGTAATTAGGCAAATGAGAGGGCTGCAGTTGGATTTGGGTTTCAATATAAAATCAAAAAGAGTTTATTTTCAGTATACCCCAGGTTCTCTTCTGCACCAATCCTCTTGCTCCTTTCACCACCTTCCAGGATGCAGTTATCAAAAAATGCCTCACCTGTGGAGCTGAAGCTGAGTCTGCCTTTCTTTGGCTCTCTCTTCTCCTCCCACTGAAACAGAGCCACCTGACTTTCCACGCTGTTTCTTTTTTTTTTTTTTTTTTTAAGATTTTATTTATTTGACAGAGAGAGAGACAGGAAGAGCAGGAACACAAGCAGGGGGAGTGGGAGAGGGAGAAGCAGGCTTCCCGCTGAGCAGGGAGCCCGATGCGGGGCTTGATCCCAGGACCTTGGGACCATGACCTGAGCTGAAGGCAGACGCTTAACGTCTGAGCCACCCAGGTGCCCCCTTTCCACGCTGTTTCTAATCTCATTCCTGGTATGTTTAAAGGAGCTAATTTGATAAACGAGTCAATGTCTTTATTCTTTATTTCTCGCAGGTAGTTTATTTTTATTTTTGCAAAGTAATATAATAATAATAAAAACAAAAATAAGCTGAATCTCAATCACCAACTACTATCACCATAGTTTCATAAACAAAAGGGCACTTTAATACCCTTCCCTACTTATAGTTGCAGAATAAAAAACAATCCTTTTAATTGAATACATTTAGCTTTATGACAAACTCTCATTGCTTTGACCTTATTTTTCTGATTCTGTAAAAAATCAGTGAGACTTCATCACAGCCCAGCACTATTTTGTAAACGGTGTTTGAATACTTTTTTGTTTTGTTTTGTTTTAACTTGATAACATTGCTGTAGTGTTCAGAAAAGAGGGCTATGTTTCTTTTTTTAAAAGATTTTATTTATCCATTTATCAGAGAGAGAGAGAGAGAGCAAGAGATCGAGCCAGCACAAGCAGAGGGAGTGGCAGGCAGAAGGAGAGGCAGGCTGCCCGCCGAGCAAGGAGCCCGATGCGGGACTCCATCCCAGGACCCTGGGATCATGATCTGAGCCAAAGGCAGATGCCCAACCTACTGAGCCACCCAGGTATCCCGGGGCTATGGTTCTTGTTATTGATTTTCTGTGGTAGAGTAAAGTATGATTATGGAATAAAGCAGGAAGAGGCTATGGCGCTCATCTTAGGTGTTAGAGATCTGGGGTAAAGTAGAAAGAATGCATGGAGTACAGGAAAGACAAATAAGGCATGATCAGTGGGGTTTTACAGAGGCATCATAGGGGTTTTACAAACCTGGCTGCTCAAGGAGAAATGCCTGCAGGTTCTTTTCCTGGCTTTCATAATCTCTTTGACATGAATGGTTGGAATTATAGGGTTTTGTATGGTGGGTTTGGCCTTTTGCTGTCCATATCACACTGTGTAGCCAGCTTCCTTGTCTCAATGATTGGATACTGCAATTCCTCTTCCTCTGTAAGGCACCATTGATATTACCCCATTCTAGGTTGGCAAGACAGAATTTCAAAATTGATTTGAATTTTGCAAAGTGTTTTGTAAGCAAAGTCTTTTAGAATCAGGCAGAGTGAAGTTGCTAAATTATGTATATGTTATATGCACATTGTATATTTGTATTGTATGTGTATTCCAACTTCTAGTACACATCATACTTTTTTTTATTTGCTAAAAAAAGGACCAAGGGAACTAAATCAAAGCTTGAACTAAGTGCTTGTCAGGGTTCTGGCATTGGGGGGTGTTAGAAGCATTGTGAGGAAAAATCCAAAAGAAAAATGCCCCGTTGTTAGCTGTGAGTGAAACCTAGAGACCATCAGAGGGAGTACTTTAGCTGCTGTGAAAGGGCTCAGAGGGAGACAGATAATAAATGTACAACAAACAATCCAATGTCAGAAGTGATCACTATTGCAAAATGAGACTGAAAACATATTTTTTTTTTTAGCAATTTCTACTGATGAAGTCCCAACTCCAGCCATGGCCATTATTAACTAGATGATTCTTTGAATCTGGCTAATGTGGAATCTTGCAAGGACAAAGAGGATTTGCTCACTAACCAGTAAGAGGTACTGGTCATGCATGCTTAAATGTGCTAATAGTTCTGGTCTTTAATAGTACCAATTTAATGAAGACAATCTTATGCCTTTTTAATTGTTCGTCTATGATTTGACATTAGCCATCCTTTCTGACAAATATGAAGATTTGTTGGCCAGCACTAACATTATCTGAAACTTAGGTCTTTAAATTGTCAGATCCTCCCTACATTTCCTTTGTCTTTGCCTTCCCTATGCCTTGGTACTCTATTGATGGGACCTACTTGCAGCCCAGACCACCCCCCCCCATTCCTAAGTCAGTTTTTTAAATGACAGAAAATATGCCAGCAATCTCAGACCTCTTTTAGTGGAGCTTAAAACACTCAGCCAGGGATGAGCTTTATGCATTCATTCTACCCCTGAATTGCAGTGCTCCCCACCTCTCTTTCTAGGTGGACTTTTGCTTTAATCTCTATCCAGTTTGTCCAGTAGTCCCTCCTTGTCTCCCTCTAGGGCTATGTCCCCACCCTACATCTTGCCTACTTCCTGCAATCTTCTTTCCCTAGACTGTTGCCCCAGCCCACTCCTTGATATCCTATCAATTGGCAAGATATGGACAAGTCATGATGATGACAGACACTATGCTTGATTTCTGGGTTGGAAACTTTCTAGAATTTCTTGTTGCTGGATTAGATCTCCTCTTTTTGACCACTGTTTGAATCTATGGATACTGCTCTGGAAATCTCAACTGTCCTGGCTAAGGCCAGCCTCTGCATTCTGGTCAGGTTTCCTCAGCACCTATCCTAGTTAATGGGTCTTTACTTGGTCCAGTTTCCTTTTCCATCATACTCTGTGGCTGAATCCATCTATGATTTGTCTTTGTTGGTGATGTGATGGTTACTACAAAAAGCTGTATCCCTAAAATCTCTATCTGTGATACCTGCAATTTATTACTATTAGATTCAGCCCTTTGAGATAAAGGATTGTGTCTATAGCAGACATCTGTAAAAATACAGGTATCTTTGTAAGAGTAGACTGGGTTAGTTTGTGGCAATGAGTAAACCCAAATAAATGTGTAATGTATCAACACAATAATTTATTTCTTGCTCATGTAGTAGTTTGTGTGAATATTCAAGTCAGCAAGAGGTTCTCCTCTGCACAGTCATTTAAAGATTTGAATTTTCCCTATCTTGTGGCCCCTCAATTTCCTAAGGCCTCATTGACATCTACACTTAGCTGGTGGAAAAGAAGAGTGAGCCTGGAGAGTCAGTAGATTTTGAAGGACAGCTAACAGTCTCTGCCATACCAAATAAGGATAACACACTGATACATTTTTAGCCTTTGATACCTTGACACAGTTTTGTTCATTAAATTACTAATACTTTAGGAAGCAGATTACAAAAGAATAGGATATAGGCTACATTCAGGGAGTGAAATAGGAGGGAGTAGGGGACTACATTGCCAATATACGTGTCAGTGATGGGAAAGGTCAGGTTTCTTTCTTTCTTTTTTTTTTTCATTAATTAAGCTCTATGACCAACGTGGGGCTCAAACTCATGACCCTGAGATCAAGTGTTGCATGTTCCACTGACTGAGCCAGCCACGTACCCCAAGGTCAGGTTTCTTTGTGGTGACAAATGTGTGGGGACAGGACTCTCAGAAAGCCAGGGGTCACTAAGAGGGTACTGGGAAGAGGAGAAACAAAGGGATGGAAACAAATTAAAGATAAAAAGGATGTCTTAGTTTTGTTTCAGGTTAGACCTGATTCTACTATCTATTCAAAATGCTTGCCAAGTGAGGGTCTTCAAAATGTGAACAATCTAGTTTTGTGCCTATTTCTGCCAGTCATTGGTCTTTTTTAAGGAGTGGGAACAAAATACTGCTAAAGCCCTGGTTCTCAGTATGCTCCACCAGGTTCCTGTGTCTCATAAGGTTTTTCAACTTAGTACCACACCAGAAGAATTAAAATCCCATCAATTTCATCATTCTTAGTCTTTGCTCAGGTCACAATGAAGCAATAGCTTTCTTTTAGCTATCCAGTTAGTGTCAGACTGCCCACTGGGAGCCTTTAATGTATAAGGCAAAATCTTTTCATATAGATATTGGGTTTTGTTTCCTGTTTGACTGGCCACTTTATACAAACAAGGACTGACCTCTAGTTCATTTTCGTCTTCCCCTCCTCCACAGCCCTACAGACTGTGAGAGATTGACCCATGCTGGTGACCTACCGATACATCCTTAACCACCTGGGCAGGAGCATGAGTTTATTCAGCAGGAAACAGGGAAGTGAGTGGGAGGGTGGAAGTTGCCAAGCAATGAACCTCAGCTATTGTCTGCAGAGTTGTTAATGGAGCTGAATCTGATCTGTGTTTAGCTGAAAGCACTTTGCAAAGGCAGACAGGAGGCAAAGGTCTGGAGATACAGAGGCATAGAAACCATAGCTTTTGCTTTTTAGCTTGTGTCCTGGATATTTTCACTGGATAGCAAAAGAATCATTGAAGGTGGAGAGTCATGGGCAGTCAATCCATCCTGGGTGAATAGATATCTAAGGGTCTTAGGGCCTTGTTAGATGGTTATTCATGTAATGTGATGTGAGGAGTACTCCAAAATATCCTTTTCTTACAGTGCCTTACACCTTATTATTGAAGATTACTGTTTAAGAACTTTCTAAATGAATTTTAATAAATGTAGTTTATTTAATAAATACTTGTGTAGCATTTACTATATGCTAGGAATGTCTAAGGGCCTCATAGATATTAACATACCTATTTCTTTTAATTCCAGAGTCTGTTCTTAACCCTTACACTATTTTGCCTCTCAGAGCATAGGATGTTACATTTTTTTTTTAATTTTATTTATTTAACAGAGAGAAACACAGTGAGAGAGGGAACACAAGCAGGGGGAGTGGGAGAGGGAGAAGCAGGCTTCCTGCTGAGCAGGGAGCCTGATGCGGGGCTCAATCCCAGGACCCTGAGATCATGACCTGAGACGAAGGCGGACGCTTAACGACTGAGCCACCCAGGCGCCCCGGATGTTACATTTATTTTGAAGATGTGTAACCCATTCTAGCAGATATTTTTTTACCTAATCATAATACTATCCCTTCCACCTAGTAGAGAGCAGGACTCCGAATACTTTGAAAGGAAGGGGCATAAATGGGTCTGATGAAACTGTTGGGGAGATGAGGGTGTCAGGATGAGGGTCTTATTAAAGGGCTAGATCCCCTAGTACCTGTGCTCCCTAAACATGCAGCATTCAAGGGATAGTGCTCTCACTTCTTTCTTCTAGTTTGTATGAATTTGATTCTAGTGATTAGCATTTTCAGTCTCACCTCTTTATTTTATTTATTTTTTGTTTTGTTTTGTATACTCAGAGGTGGTATAAGCTGGATATGAAACAAATGGACTTCCATTTACCCAGGGAACAGAGTGTTTGGGGCTGACTAGGAAGCCACGGGTAACCATCTTAAAACTGGTTTCCAGTTCTGTATTCAGAGTTGGTGCACCTGGAGTAGAGGCTGCCCTGACAGTATTTCTTCCTCTTGCCTGGCTTCCCTATGGATAATTTGGTGCTAGATGCTGCTCTCTGATCATTCAAAGCTCCTATTAGCTTCCTCCCCACACTGTACTTTATAGTACTGCCTCCTCCGTTGGCTCCATGTGGCCATCTGTCCAGAATGTTTTCATCTGGTATCACATAGCCCATTGCTTTTAGTCTATAACTGGTTTTTTATATGGCTCTTCAAAACCTCAATTTTCTATGTTAGACTTATATGTCTCACTAAATATTCCAGAGCAATATCTGATGGAAAAGGGGATTGGTGATTTTGGTGAGTATTACCCCACCAGTCCTTGTCCCCGGAACATTTTCTCCAGCCAGATACTATAAGTCTATCATTCACCAGAAATCCAAGCACCCACTATGCGCAGGATGTTAAGTAATCTACTCTAATAAAGTAAGCATGCTTTAGGCACTCTGAGCTGACCTCACTGGGCCATTACACTCTCCGTTCCTAGAGAAAGAAAAGCTATCTTGACTGACAAACAGACTTTTCATTCCCTGTTGTATAACTGGGGATTCAGCTCTTACACTTCGGCACTGAGCTCATTGTCTTCATAATTAATGCTAAAAAGAACAAATTTGGAAAGAACACAGGAACAGGAGGCTAAGTCTCCAGAGGGAGCCTTAGAAGTGGACTCGGTGCATTTTTGCCTACATCATTAATCCCCCATGGTCACATGTGGGGAATACAGATGCCCTCCTCAGGCCCTATGGTTCAATTTTTCCATAAGACAATTGACCTATCGTCACTGTGAGGAGCAAAGCCTTGAACAAAGCAGCTGCTGAAAGGACTTTGTCAAGCTGGAAATGAAGTATTAATATGGCTCTGAGAGGGAACAGCATCAGAAACCAGGCTCTTTATTATTTACATTAATGAGCTGGAAGACAATGCAGTGAACAAAATCCCAAGTTTGGAGAATGAAGTTCAACAACGAGTAAAGAAACAATGAAATCCAGCAAATGTAAATCCAGACTAATATGTCTCTGCACAAAAAGCCCAAAGGGGAAATATTTTCAGAGCAGGAAAGGGCTAAAGCAGGGTGTCAAGTCATTACTGAAATTCCCTACTGTCAGTTTGTTTGAGAATGAAGCTCAGACTTAGGAAGAAAAAATGCCCAGATTGCCTGCTGGACAGACACAATACAATGCACCTATCAAAGGAGGCAGCATTATCTCTATTAGAGATGTGTGCCCAGTACAACGGTAAATTATTCCAATACAATATCATATTCTGCTCCTCAGATAGATCTAAATCTTCACAGCTTGATTGGCATAGGCGTGCGTGTATGTACAGGCTTTCTGTGTACATCCTCTAATACTAGCTGCTTTCCTTCCACTACAGATAGAGCCCTCTTTCCTACCAATAACCTCCCATCCTTGATCAGAAATGGTCTTTTAGGGGCGCCTGGGTGGCTCAGTTGGTTAAGCGACTGCCTTCAGCTCAGGTCATGATCCTGGAGTCCTGGGATCAA